ACACACTAAGTACTAAATATACCTAGCTATCAGTTTTATCATAATGAAGTCGGTAGAAATAATTTCTCTTAAGAGTGAGGACCTAATTGGTTTTTGTCGTTTTCTGAATACCTGAATGGGTCTTTTGGATGTGAAAAGGTAGTCCTACCTTGGTTTTAAAGGGTTTTTTTTTTAAGATTTTATTTATTAATCATGAGAGACACACAGAGAGAGGCAGACGTACAGGCAGAAGGAGAAGCAGGCTCCATGCAGGGAGCCTGATTCGGGATCACGCCCTGAGCCAAAGGCAGATGCTCAACTGCTGAGCCACCCAGGCATTCCTGGTTTTAAAGTATTTCAGGACAAAGGGAGGCCTACTCTTTTATTACAGGCATCAGAAATGGAGGTAGGAGTCTGTGTAGATGGTCGAGAACAGAGGAGATGAGGCAAGGAGAGAGCTTACAAGGGGGCACTCAGGGGAAAGCCTGACCAGTGAGTGCCCCTGAGGGGTGCAGATGGTCAAGGGACATAAAAATAAATGGATCCCACATCGGGTTTTAACTTAATTGCTCTGTTATGCTAGCCTATAACTGCTCTTTACCTATTCCCAACAATCTTACAAGTAGTCCTATTTTGCAGCTTGAGGGAGGACTGTATTAACATTCCAGTCAGCTGGATCCCATTCTCAGAAGGGGAAACAAAACAAAACAAAACAAAATAAAAAACCCTGACTTGAGAGTCCCAGTTTTCCTCTCAGAAATTTGGGGGTGTAGGGATGCCTGGCCGGCTCAGTCAGAAGAACACCAACTCTTCTTGATCTCAGGATGGTGAGTTCGAGCCCCATGTTGAGTGTAGAGATTAATAAATAACATAAATAAACTTAAAAAAAAGAAATTTTGGGGTGTAAAATCAGGCTGCCCAGGTGAAAGGGATGAGATGACCCCTGAAGGATATTAATTACTATTAAAGGACAATTCTCAAAATGTTAAAACTATGACTGTCACACAAATCTAATATGAACGTGCACCAAAGATTTTATTTAACTCATTTTATAGAGAGAAAACTAATAAGGCATCCCATAGATTCAAAGGAGAATCTGAAGAGTACTTTGGGGGCTCAGTTGATTAAGCATCGGACTCTTGATTTCAGCTCATGTCATGATCTCAGGGTCCTGGGATGGAGCCCTGCATTAGGCTGTGGACTCAAAGAGGAATCTGCTTGCCCCTCTCCCTTTGTTCCTCCGCCTATGCTCGCTCTCTCATAAATAAAAATAAAATCTTTAAAGAAGAAAACCAACAAATGAGAATCTGAAGAACAGACAGTTATAAGTAACTATGAATACATAAATGAAGTTGCTGGAGATGCAAAGCTGAAACAAGTTTGCTGTTAGTACTATTAGGCACCAAATTGAATGTATTCATAGATTAATACTTATGCGTGTTAAAATGTCATGTTTGAAATCCACTTTTCCAAGGGGCAGAAATCAGTTGCATCTCTATATGAAAAAACGTATTTGCATTTCTATGGGCAAGAATCATTTGCATCATTATTTGTTTTCTACAATCTAACCTCTACAATGCTAACCTTGAAGGACCCGCTTCACACCCCAGCATTTCATTGAAAGGTACTCAGTAATCTCTTGCCACTTCAAAGTCTTTAATGATTTTTTTTAAAGATTTTATTTATTTATTCATAGAGACAGAGAGAGAGAGAGAGAGGCAGAGACACAGGCAGAGGGAGAAGCAGGCACCATACAGAGAGCCTGACATGGGACTCAATCCAGGGTCTTCAGGATCACGCCCTGGGCTGCAGGCGGCGCTAAACTGCTGTGCCACCGGAGCTGCCCTAATGATTTTTTTATTACAATTTTAATCCACAAGATAGGGATGTGCCTGCTTGTGAAGTTGTTCTGAAGATTACAGATAGGTCTAAACTGCCTGACACTGAGTGGGTGACTCCATCAATGACAGTTTTATGATGAAGTCATAGTAGGATGACAGTTTACTTTTGGTGGCATTTATGAATGTACATCATTATAAGGCAGTCTACAGGTTGGTAGCAAATGGCTCTCTTATTGCAGACTTTGCTATTTGGATTATGGCTGTATAACTTTAGATCTATTTGCCAGCACATAATACACTTGGCTGGGGAATTGAGCCACATTTCCCTCTTGATGCAGAGCAGTCAGCCCTAAAGCCCATAAGAAATGCCTAATTTTGTTACTCCTTTATAAATATCTTCAATAAATTAAATACTGAATCATCAGCATTATTTTTATTCGGCACTCATATATGTAATTAATTGCTTACAGAATAAAGCTTTTAGTAGCAAATACACAAAACTAGATGATTAATAGAGGCAGATTTATAGCTGCTTGAACAAATATGTCCCAGAAGTGCCAATTTCCAGTCAGCATCCATCTCAAGGGAGCTCTCTAGTGGTATGATCAATGGCTTGTCCATGTACCTTTCTTGATCAACCTTAGTTCTCAAAGATTCAATAAAGATATATTAATTTTGCAGCTGACACAATGCATCAAAGAATGATAAATATACTAGATGACACTCAAAGTTCAAAATTATTTCTGTTATAGATGAAACCAAAAGGCTAAGATGTAAAAAGGCTAAACATAAGGTCCTGCATTCAGGTTTAATAAATCAATTACACAAATAGGTGGGGAGGCCATCAGGACAGCAGTCTGTGCAGACAGATAAGCAGGTTTTAGGTAATCCTGCTAATGGAAAACTCAACATGAATCTCTTGTGTGAAGCAGCCACTAAAATAGTTTATGTAAATTAAGCTTCATTAATAGAAGTAAAGATAATGTCTGGATCACAGGAGGTGATAGTCTGTATCAAGAAGAACCACAGTTTACATATGGGGTTCATAAGGGTGTCAGATTTTAAGAAGGGCCTACAAGAATCTGAAAAAATCCAGAAGAGGCTAGATGGTAGATGGGACTCTCTGAAAATCAATTTACAAGGAATATCTGAAAGACTGGGAGTGCAACGTTCTGAGAAGAGTATTCCAAGTGGTTGATATTCTTTTTTTCCCAAAAAAAAACTTAAGTGGCTGATACACCGAATAAAAAGGTGTTCAGTGCTTTTCCAAAGAGAAGATCTAGCATCAGTGCACAGAAGTAATAGGAGGCACATCCTCTTGGCCTAATAATTAAAGCTGCTATCACAGGACATAATGTGAAGAAGTAAGCTTTCATCCCTGGAAATACCAGGCAGAGAGTGGATGACCACTGGAAGGAATGGGCTGAAAGGGGCTCCTAAATGGATGTGGGCTGGGTAAGATGCTGATCAAGGGTCCACACAATTCTAAGACTATATAATCTTTCAGTTAATAATGGACTTAAATCAGTCTTGAATGACTAGTTGATTATTGTTTTTGTTCCAAAAGAATGTCAGTCGGTGCTTTCCCACAGAGAAGACTGTGTGAAGACACAGGAAGTAGTTGACAGTCAACTTTGAGGACTTAGAAGAAACCAGCCCTGCTGACACTTTTATCTTGGACTTCAGCCTTCAGAACAGTGAGAACTTTCTGTTGGTTAAGCCATCCAGTCTGTGGTATTTTGTTATGGCAGCCCCAGCAGACCAATACACTTTTTCCACCTTCTGTAACTAAAGTAGTTTGGATGGCTTATCTGGGTAAGCCAGGAAATACTCCTGGCTAGGATGGATCCTGACAGAGTTAATTAAAAAGTCACTTGCCTCACAACTCAAGATATCCTGAGTCGATCCCTCGGTTCCATTTCTCAATATTTATTTAAAGAAAACAAAACACTAAATTGAAAAGATATATGCACTCCCCATGTTCATTGCAGTGTTACTTACAATAGCCAAGATAAAGAAACAAACTAAATGTCCACTGATGGATGAATGGATAAAGAAAAATGGGATATATATATATATATATATATATATATATATATATATATTCAGCCATAAAAAGGAATTTTGCCACATGTGACAACATGGATGGACCTTGAGGGTATTATGCTAAGTGAAATAATTCAGAGAAAGACAAATGCCATATGATCTCACTTATATGTGGAATCTAAACAAAAAGCTTGAGTTCGTATATACAGAAAATAGATGCGTAGTTGCAAGAGGCAGGGTGTGAAGGGTGGATAGAATGGGTAAAGTGAGGTCAAAGGTACAAACTTCCAGTTATAAAATAAATGTCACGGGATGTAATATAAAGCATGGTGGCTATAGTTAATAATACTGTATATTTGAAAGTCGCTGAAAGTCAATCTTTAAAAAAAGTTTTCAAGGCTTCCTCAAAAAAAAAATTCTCATTACAGAAAATGTATTACTGTGTGATGTAACAGATGTTAACTAGACTTATTGTGGTGATCATTTCACAATATATATAAATGTCGAGTCATTATGTTCTTCTGAAATTAATATCGTGCTCTTTAATAGCTCAATTAAAGACTCCCTGGGTGTAGGAAGCCACTGGGAGAGTGATTCATTCCCTCATCTGTAGCAGTTCCAGCCCCAACAAACTTGATGAAAATCAGTACAGAGCACCTAAATAGAACACTTCCCCTCCCTTACTAACTCATTTATCTCAAGCAGGCCTCACTGCTAGCTGAGGTGGTTGCTTTCTGGCTCGGGAAGAATTTGTTTACTCTATTGTTATTTTCCTCTTTATATTCCTTCATATTTTTCAAGTTTTCTACCTGGACCTTGAACTAAGAAGAAATGAAAAATTTATAAATAATCTGAGTCATGAAAACAAAGCCTGAATCTTTTCCCTTGAAGTGTTTTGCCAAAAAAGTAGCAAGAACAAGAGTAAGCTCAAAACAAATGACCAGAATCACTGTTTACTCAGTAGAAAAGTAAATTCATATAATAAACCACTTTTTCAACAATCAGTTTTATGCTCTCTCCATTTCATACCTTTTCTGCTAGCTGACTGATATTTTGGGAACAGGAGTAGAAAAACATTATGAGAGATCACCTCATGGAAATACTTGCAGTCATCACAATGATGTCATGAATTACCTTCATGTCCACTGATGGGTCACCCTGCAGCAGTGTCCACTCATACTGGACAATGGCGTGGTCATCTGTACTCTCACGGCCATCTAAAACCACTCCGTCTGTAGGTAGATGCAAGACCACATCCTGCCCAGCCTTGCTAAGCGGGGGCTCATCCTTTTCTGTGAAAGAAAACCAATAATTCACAAGAGAGATGACTCTCTATTTTTTTAATGATATGTTTAAAGAAGAATCTTGTTTGCTAGAATGGATGGAGTCCAACAAACTACTAAGAGAATGTATAGCAACTAAAAGTTATTTTCTTATTGATTTTCATCGTATTCTCTTTACACAATAAAACAGCAACATTTAGGAATATGGAATTTATAATACATGCAGAAGAGGAGGTGTGGCGTATTGCTAGCACTAATAGTTAGGATAAGGTTGTGAGTACAAGACAGAGTACTAGGCCAGCTAATCTGGAGTAGTAGCTTTATTCTCTAGAGTCAAATTTGTATTTAATTCATAAATAAACTTATGTTCAAAATTCGATTAAATGAATTTATCAAAAAAGGACTTCTGAAACACATCTAAAAAAATCCACATGATATAGATTTTTTTTCTTAGCCTCAAGTTTTTAAAATAGAAGTGATATAAAGTGTTCAATGCATAGGAAATAAATTAAATTTGGAAAGTTAAAGCAAGTTCTTGGACTCACACAAAATAAAGCTCACTTAGAAATTTTCTGGAATACAATGTTTCATCTAGAAAAATAGAAGACCTTCAGTTTCTAACAACTACTTTTTAAAAAACATTTATTTATTTATTTATTCATGAGAGATGCAGGAAGAGAGGCAGAGACATAGTCAGAGGGAGAAGCAGCTCCCCACAGGGAGCCTGAGAGGGGGACTCGATCCCAGGACCCCAGGATCACACCTGGGCCCAAGGCAGATGCTCAACCACTGAGCCACCCAAGGGTCCCTCTAACAACTACTTTTTACAACAGAGCCTGGCACACTAAGTTTCTGACAATAGCAAAACAAGTATATATTTACCTTTGATCTGGAATTGTACTAAATAATTCAAGGCTAACTATGTTCACTAACTACTAATCCTCATCTGGTAGCTGCTTCAGTGCTGATTGATAGGAAAAGCTGTATACAGAAAACATTTCTAGGGATCCCTGGGTGGCGCAGTGGTTTGGCGCCTGCCTTTGGCACAGGGCGCGATCCTGGAGACCCGGGATCGAATCCCACATCGGGCTCCCAATGCATGGAGCCTGCTTCTCCCTCTGCCTGTGTCTCTGCCTCTCTGTCTCTGTGACTATCATAAATTAAAATAAAAATTAAAAAAAAAATTTCTAAGAACAGAGATGTGAATATTTTATTGATTTAAGCTTATTAGTAAACTTACCCAAATGCACATATATCTTAAAGAAACTTAGTAATATTAACCAAGGGAAAAAAATCTATAAGTTCTTGTAATATATGCTTTTTTGGCATTCACTATTTCCTCCCTCTCCAGTGCCAAAGCTGTCCAAATTCTGGCCTGGACTTGTTCTTCCTTAACTTTCTCTGAATGATGCTGCTGAGGCACTCACTAAACTTCCTCCAGAGCCCCAGTTGCCCTAAGCAAACTTCTAAGGGCCAACCCAAATATCCCAGGGCCTGAGATTTGGGGCTAGCAGCAATCTTATTCATTTCTCCCCAGGCAACAAAGAATAGTCACTCTTGATACATTAGCTAAAATTACTTTTCTGAAATTCTAGTCTGATTGGGTCATTTCCCTGCTTAAGAAAAACCCTTCAAAAAAAGAAAAAAAGAAAAACCCTTTGACAAGTTACCATGACATTTTAGATGTTCGGAGACCTGCTCATCCAGCCCTGTCTTCTCAGCTACTGATCCTCCCAATACCCAGAAACAGAGAATTTCTGTATGGGGCTGGCAGCTCTTAGAGCTGTGGCTTTTCTGAATGAGAATGCTGTTGGTTGGGGCAGCCCAGGTGGCTCAGCGGTTTAGCACCGCCTTCAGCCCAGGGCCTGATCCTGGAGACCCAGGATCGAGTCCCATGTCAGGCTCTCTGCATGGAGCCTGCTTCTCCCTCTGCCTGTGTCTCTGCCTCTCTCTCTCTCTGTGTGTGTATCTCATGAATAAGTAAAACATAAAAAAAAAAAAAAAAAGAGAATGCTGTTGGTAGCCTCAAAAAGAGAGGACTCTCTAATGAGCCTGTTTACAGGGAATAAACACACTTGCTATTGCCAATGGTTACATTTGCCTATTGAGAAGATGAGTCCCACTTTTTTTTTTGTTTTTTTGTTGTTTTGTTAAAGACTATTTGAGAGAGAGAAAGAGAGAGAGTGGGGGGGGGGAGGCTCAAAGGGAGAGGGAAAGAGAGCCTTTACCCAGACCCCGTGCTAAGGACAGAACTGGATGTGGGGTTTGATCCCATGACCCAGAGATCCTGAGCCAAAATCAGGAGTTGCATGCCTAACCAATTGCACCACACAGGCACTTCAAGGTGAGTCCCATTTTTATAGTCATTTAAGCAATGAAGACTAATAACAGATTTAAATAAGCCATAAAAGCAACTTGGCCTAAGAAGAAATTTGTTCTGCCTTTTCCATCTCTGAGCAAAGCCCTAGTGTCAGGTCTTTATTCTGCTTCTTCCAGGTAAGGAGAGAGGTGACAATTTCATTACTAATAAGCCATTTTACAGAGTGTTACGGAGAACTTTCTTTTTGTTCTGGAAGTTTCATTGCTTTCCACACAATGGTTTACCACTTTATAATTCTGGAAAGCAACTTATAACTCATGGTAATACATTATAGTTAGCAACTATTTGGATGAAAATTTATTTTAAAATACTTTTTATAAGTAAACAAAATATACCTATATGATATAAACAAAAATGAATGCTATAATATATGTTTAAGCCCTTAAAGTTGTAATCTCAAATACTTAAGATGGAAAAAGTCAGGTAAGTTCTGAAATATCCCACATATTACAAAACTAATCCTGCCACTCCGGGAAAAGGATAACAATCATTATTTTAATCATTTATTTTTCTTTAGGTACGCTTTAAGATATGATTTCTGAACACAGTGAAATCCTCATATCCTCTACATTAATCATTGTTGTAATTGAAACAAGAGATATATTTCCTCCTGTTGTTCCAATCTGGGCAAATTATGCTGCATAATGTATTTTGAAATAAGTTAGAGCTTATCTACTAAGAAACACTCCTTAAAGACAGACAAGTGACGACAAGAAGAGGAAAGGAGTGTGCTATCATTTAAAAATAGTTCACTTGCTGGGGCCCTTGGCTGGCTCAGTTGGTACAACATGGGACTCTTGATCAAGAGTTGTCCCTTGTGAGTTTAAGCCTCATGTTGGATGTGGGGATTACCTAAAAATAAAATCTTTAAGGGGTGCCTGGGTGGCTCAGCTGATTGCACATCTGACTCTTGATTTTGGCTCCGGTCATGATCTCAGGGTTGTGAGACTGAGGCCAGCATGGTGCTCTACACAGAGCACGGAGGCTGCTTGAGATTCACTCTCTCCCTCTGTCACCTTCCCCCCCAATCTCTCGCTCTCTCTAAAAAAAAAAATCTTTAAAAAAAACTTGACTTGCTAATAAAGAACAAGATAAAGGTAAATTTAAATTTTCATCATAAAAATGTAATACATCAGTGTTAAATACTATGGAAACATTGATTTCTTTTGAAAACTAAACACACTTGGTCAGATCTACTGAGGCAAAATAAGACTCATACCAATTCTGATGAAGCATAACAAGTTGACATTTTATACAGTTAAGAATAATATTGTTAAGTAATCTGATTTATAACACACTGCTGTGAACAGAGCCTGAATGACAAGGAGGAGGTTCTGGAATCTGGATCTGTACTGTGTGGGCACAAATGATAGAGTGGTGGTTTAGAAATCAGCAGGGAGTCCTGAAGTCAGGACACAGAAGTGGGGCCAGACTAAGGAATAGGCTTAGTTACCATTTGTCAAAATTCATGCGGTTGGTTGTTTTTGTGGTTTTCTTTTTTCATTGGGTGTTCTTAATTGTAACATTTCAGTAAAGGCTTATTCACAACCTCAGTCTGGTTATCATTTTTGGTGAGCTGATGATAATATGAGGTGCCATTTATTAAGTGATTTCTTTGTACTAGACACCAGGCTAAGTACTCATGAGCCATAATGTCACTCAACTTTCACAAGTCTCTGAGGTAGGTATTCCCATCTGCATCAGACTCATGAGGAGAGTCAGAGGTTTACTTGCCTACGACGATAAAAATGATACATCTGTCAGTTCTGATGTCAGCCCGGATATTTCTAATTATACTTGGGGGTACCCAAAGTATATTCCAGCTACAGGAAATATAAATTTATAACCTGAGTTAACCTATTGATTTATTCTATTTATTGATATTTATTCATATACTCTAGTTTCGCCCATGTTACTACATAAACTTCACAGCTGCCATTTTAATTTTTAACCTCTATTGGACATTTACTTTATCATTTTTTTCATCATTATAAATACTGTCACAGTAAATTTTCTTGCTTCTACTTTTTCTTTAGCATGGATCACTTTCCTACAAAAATATGCCAGAAGAATGAATGACCAATTTAATGGTCTGCGCTTCTTATTTCCTGTGAGACACTTGTGAGACATAGCTCTATAACTCATGTGTGGCAAGACTTTGGGCAGGTGACTTTCTCTCACAGAACCTTCCAGTACATTGGGGATTATAACAGAACCTAGATCTTTGGTTGTTGTGAGGAGAGTGAGTTCATGAGCTTAAGGACCTCGTAATAATGCCTAGCACCAAACTCAGTTTCCGCAACAAACATGGCTAATGGGTTCTGGTATAAATTTGTGCCATTCCATTCCACCTGCCCCTTCACCATTTCTGCATCATATTTTTATTCACATCAGGTGGCCCTGATAAATTCTCTGCAAAAGCTTTTCTAAACCATATTCACACTCCTTTAGCCTCCAACTCTGTATGGTCACAAGAGTTGGAAAATAAGAGGTAATTAGAGAAGGAAAAACAAGGAAGTTTCAGAGGCATAAAGAGCTTCAGATGTTATGCATTTGGGCAAGGGCAAACACAGGGCATTTGGGTAGGTAGCTTTGCCCTAGCTGCAAATGAGGGCACCTTGGGGTCTGAGCTACATCCTTTTAGTTTCTGTGTTGCTGGGGATCTGAAGTGTGAGCATGACGGTGTTTTCCAGAATGAGAACCAAGCCCTTATAGACACCCGTTTTCATCCCTAACATCTACATAATTGAATTGCCTAGGGAAGGGAAGAGCAAAGAAGGGAGTGGAAGAAAAGTGACTCGGGGGGCACCTGAGTGGCTCAGTGGTTGAATGTCTGCCTTTGGCTCAGGTCATGATCCCAGGCTCCTGGTAGGGAGCCAGCTTCTCCCTCTGCCTATATCTCTGCCTCTCTGTGTATGTCATGAATAAATAAAATCTTTAAAAAGAAAAAAATTAAAGAGACTCAGAAACTCCTACTAGTAAACCTAACTTTTCTTTTTTAAATTTCCTTGAGAATATTCTTTTCTTGTTTATTTTCCTTTGATTTCCCCTAGCTTATAAGAACACTTCCTTTGGCAACGTTGGTTTCCTCCAGATGTGCTGGAAGAACAAGGGAAAAGGATTTTGGTTCTTTGCTGCTGGGATTTTTTTGGTCCACATTTGAGCAAACAGGAAGGATATGTGTGTAATAGTCATGGGGCAGGCTCAAGGATGCTGGTGGAGGTCCAAGTGAAAGTATCTCTTGCCTTCCCTTTAGGGAGAAAACTTTGGGGTTCTTCCTAGTATCTGCCTTGGGGCTGAGCAGTCACAGGGTGACCTTTGATGTCTGCTCCCCTGACAAGGGTCCTGAGCTTTAGCTCAGGTGGAAATGAGTAGGAAGATGGGCCCTTGTGGATATGGTTTCCCAGACCCTTCTCTCTGGACCTTTGGGTCTTGGAGGCTCCAGGTTTCCAAAGTGGCTGAGGTTGCCCTCGACCCCCACTCTTACTATAACTAATTCTTATGTTATTATAAATCAGAGAGCAACAGAATGCAATCAAACACACAGCCAACCACACATGGGCCCAATCAAGGTTTTATTCCCTCAATGGCTTTAATCTCCAACTGCCACAATTTTCTTTTTGTGCCTCGACTGTCATTCAGAGCATCTGCAGGAAGTAAAACCACAGAATGAAATTTTTCATTATTAACTCTTTTAAAAAAGAGACATGCTGGGGTGCCTGGGTGGCTCAGTCTGTTGAGCGTCTGCCTTCAGCTCTGGTCATGATTCCAGGCTCAGGTCATGATCCCAGGGTCCAGGGATGGAGCCCCACCTCAGGCTCCCTGCTCAGTGGGGAGCCTGCTTCTCCTCCCTCTGGCTGCAGCTCCCCCTGCTTGTGCACGCGTGCTCTCTCTCTCTCTCTCTCTCTCTGTCAAATAAATAAGTAAAATCTTAAAAAAGAAGACTTGCCTTAAACTTTCTTATTTTCAACTAAAATCAAAACCCCCTCCTTTCCGTCTTTACAAAAGGGACCATAGTTCGTGGGAAATCAGTTGGACTCACTTCAAAATAACTGACATCAAGTTTCCCTTGGCCATTTTTGTGCGATGAAAGCCACTGCACACGCAATGAGGAGTCGTGAGAGCCAAGCTAAGCAACGAGTGTGTTATGAGCAATCTGGCATCTAATTAGATTTTGCTCCTGCAGTTACTTGACACAAACCACGACTTAATAAAAAATCTGAGCCTAAAATAAACTTTTTTTTTAAAAGGGGGAGCTTTTCCCCTCCTTTAAATCGAATTTCTGTAAATCCTCTCAGATCAGCCTCCCTCCCCAAGGCCAGAAAAATTCCAGGAGCAGGCCACGGTGCCCTCTTCTGCTCCGTCTTCTAGGCTTTCTCAGAAACCATCTACAACAGAAACCAGAGGCAGCCTTCCGGATGCCGCGGCCTGAAATCCCCTGGAACGCGGCTGTTCCATTTCCCCCCCCCCCCCGGGCTGCCGTGCCGGAGCAGTCCCCCGGGTGCAGCCGCCGACAGGCGCCGGGGTCTGCCGGGGTCTGCCGGGGTCGGCCGGGGTCGGCCGGGGTCGGCCGGGTCTGCCTCCCCGCGCGCAGTGCTCACCCACTGGAGGCGAGGCTTCCAGGTCTCGCGGCCCGCCCGCCGGGGCGCGGCTGAGGCTGTAGCTGCTGTAGCCGCGGTGCGGAGCGAACTTGCAGACGCTGCGGCCGCGGGCGGTGCAGTTGAAGAGGTAGCAGCCGAGCGCGGCGGCGGGGGGCGCGGGCCGCCGGGGCAGCTCCACCACCGCCACGGAGCAGCGCGGCTCGGAGCAGCAGGCGGCCAGGCACTGCCGCCAGTCCCGCACGGCCGCCGGCGCCGTCAGGAAGCTGGCGCCCGCCGCGAGCGAGTCCTTGGTGCGGATGATGGCGTCCGGCATGGCGCTGTAGCCGCCGCCGCCGCCGCCGCCGCCGCCGCCGCCGCCGGGGCCCGGGCAGCCCTCCTGGGGGCCGCCGCCCGCGCGCAGCTCCAGCTCCAGCTCCTCCTGCGGCCGCTCCCGCTGCAGCTGCCGGCGGAACTCCTCCAGCAGCTGCTCCACCCCCGAGAGCTGCGCGTGCAGCTCGGACAGCGGCGCGGAGGGCGGTGCGGCCGCGCGGCCGCTCGGCAGCCACAGGCAGAGCAGCAGCAGCCCGCGCAGCGCCCGGTGCCGCGCCGAGCCCGCGCCCTCCCGGGCGGCGAAGACCATGGCGGCCGGCGGCTGAGGCGGCGAGCCTAGGCGGGGCCGCAGAGCGCGAGCGGGGCGGGCGCCGGCCCCGGGCCCCTCCGGCGCGGCCGCGGCGGCCACCACGCCCTGGCGCCTCACAGCGCGGCCTCCGCGGGGCCCGGCTGCACCCCCGAGGCCGCGGGCGCGCGGTCGCCGGCGGGAGCCGCGGCCACGGGAGGCATAGCCGGCCCGGCCTAGCCCCGCCGCTCGCGCTTTCCGGCGGCTTCCGGGAGCGCCGGAGCCTCCCTGCGGGGATCCGGGGGCGCCCTCCGCGGCGGCGAGACGGCCTCGGCGCGGATCAGCACCCGGCGTGTGAACAGTGACCGCGACGGGGGCGGGGCCGCGCGGAGCCCCGCCCCCGCCCCGCCCTGCCCCCCCCGCCGGCTCCCGCGCGGAGCCCCGCCCCGCCCCAGCCCCGCCCCCCCGCCGGCTCCCGCGCGGAGCCCCGCCCCGCCCCAGCCCCGCCCCCCCCGCCGGCTCCCGCCCCCCCCCCGCCGGCTCCCGCGCGGAGCCCCGCCCCCGCCCCCGCCCCGCCTCGGGCTCGCGTAAGCGCCTGCGCACGCGGCCCCCTGCAGGTCCCCGCCGGGCTTGTGTCTTGCCTCCTTGGGCTTTATTAACCCGCCGGATGCGCGCGGAGGTCAGCTCCGAGGGGAAGCTGAGACCTCCGTGACCTAGGACGTGGTTGAACTGGGAAACCACCGGACACAGCCTTCGATCCTTCACCGCCCCTGACTGTTGTTGACATATTAGGTTCCCCAAATGTACTTGGCTAGCACAAGGTGGGCAATGCTGATGAAAAATACAAAAAATCAAGTAGTCACAGTCATAAGTCCACAGACATATCCGGAAATCTGAATACAGTCAATTATGGGGGCCTGATGAGTTATCTCTTTAAGTGTGTAGAGAGCCCTCCAGCTTCCATCCTGTAAGATCTAGTGAAGATGTGTTTTATTTAATTAGATTTAGCAGATAATCTTTTCCTTTATGGAGGTACGATTGACATACAGCATGTTAGCTTTAGGTGTGCACGATCATTCAACACTCGGCGTATACTGGGATGCCTGAGTGGCTCCGTGGTTGAGCATCTGCCTTTGGCTCAGGTCGTGATCCTGGGGTCCTGGAATCGAGTCCTGCATCAGGTTCCCCGCAGGGAGCCTGTTTCTTTTTTTTTTTTTTTTTTTTTTAATAAATTAATGTTTATTGGTGTTCAATTTACCAACATACAGAATAACACCCAGTGCTCATCCCGTCAAGTGTCCCCCTCCGTGCCCGTCACCCATTCACCCCCACCCCCCGCCCTCCTCCCCTTCCACCACCCCTAGTTCATTTCCCAGAGTTAGAAGTCTTTATGTTCTGTGTCCCTTTCTGATATCTGGGAGCCTGTTTCTGTCTCTGCCTCTCTGTGTCTTTAATGAATTAATAAATAAAAATATAAGAAAACCCCAAACCACTCGTATATTTGTTGACGGATCACCACGGAAACGGCTGTCACCACACAGTCACAAAACTGAGCAGCAGTGGGTTTTTTTTTTTGTTTGTTTTTTTTTTTAAGATTTTACTTATTTATTTGAGAGAGAGAAAGTGAAAGAGCAGGAGCAGGAGGGGGAAAAGAGGAGAGAGAATCTCAAACACACTCTGCAGTGAGCCCAGAGCCCAGAATGGGCTAGATCTCACGGGCCATGTCACTGGATCCATGACCTGCAGATCATGACCTGAACAGAAACGAAGAGTGGCATAATAAGGTATATGAAAATCCATGAAATGAGATCATGACCTGAGCAGAAACCAAGAGTGGCATAATAAGGTTTATGAAAAACCGCACATGAGAGTTGTAACTGCCTGCCAATAGCTTCTACATCTTATTTATTTCAGAGACTCTATTGATTCATTTTTTTCTCCTGATTATAAAGCACGTATTCTTGTTTTTTGGCATGTCCAGAAGTTTTTTTCCTTGGATGCATGAACTTTGTGAGTTTGTTTTTTAAGATTTTATTTATTTATTCATGGGAGGTACAGAGAGAGAGGCAGAGACATAGGCAGAGGGAGAGGCAGGCTCCCTGCAGGGAGCCCCATGTGGGACTCCATCCCAGGACCCTGGGATCATGACCCGAGTGGAAGGCAGGCGCTCAACCACTGAGCCACCCAGGCATCCCTGGCTACATGAATATTGTAATTTGCACATTGTTCAAAGTCTATACTTTTTAGGAGGGAAAGAGAAAATAATTGGATAGGAAAATAGCAGTTTATGATATGTATATTTACATAAATTTTAGAGCTTATATTTAGGAACCTATTGCTTTCAGATCTAGAACAGAGAAGGAGATAGAACTAGAAGGTAAAAATGTAAAAGAAGAAAAAATATTCCAATATTTCTTGCTATTCCATGAAAAGGAAAATTCATAGAGTTCCAGGGGGTGTGTATGTGTGTAACTGGAAGCTGAAATATTGGCCTCTTAGCCCTAAAGGGAGTGGCCCACTTTGGGCTGCAGGTTTTTCCACCTATGAGGTATTCACCCCACACAACTACTTAAAGATGTCCTTGACAACATAAGAATTCCTTTCACCTTAGACATCAGAGAGCTCCAGTAAGCTTATGATAAGGAGAAACTGTCACTGATGCACTGATGATAAAAATAGACTCTGAAGGATAGCATTCAAATCTTCTAAATACTAGCTATGATAAAAATAATTATTAATATGAAAAACAAACATGTATGGTAATAGGAGATAGCATTAACTAACAATTGTAATTGTAATTACTTCAAAGTTTGCCAAACACTTTCAGGTACATGATTTCATATGGCCTTCATGAAGATTTTAAGCAGGACACAGAACCTGTCCTGCCTTTGGGACAGTGAAAGAGAAATCAGTACAGAGTGAGACCCAGTTCACAAGTTCCATGGGGGAGATAATGAGGGAGAGATGGGTGGGACAGTGTTTCTCAGGAGCATTCATTTCCAATCCTGCCAGCACTGCCAAAGATTTCCCCTCTATAACTTCACAACAGGCTCCTTTTAAGAAAAGGGGACATGACTTAATGTGTTTACTATTAACACTGGTTATGTCTTGCGTGTGAGATGGGAACAGTAGAGGGGAATACTCACTTCTTTTTAAAAAAAAAAATATTTGTTTATTTATGATAGACATAGAGAGAGAAGCAGAGACACAGGAGGAAAGAGAAGCAGGCTCCATGCCAGGAGCCCAACGCAGGACTCGATCCGGGACCCGAGGATCACACCCTGGGCCAAAGGCAGGCGCCAAACCGCTGAGCCACCCAGGGATCCCTGGAATACTCACTTCTTTACCAGACTTCATATCAGCTGAAATTTTTATAATGAGCTTGTCATAAAGCATTTTTCATTAAGAAAAATAGGCTCCTCCTGCAGCAGCCATAATAAAGGGGTTTTAGGTGAAAATTCCAGAAAGAAAAAAAGAAACAATGTGCTTTGGACATCAGGTAACAGGAAGTGCAGGACCTTGGGAGAAGGGATACTAAGGAAGTGATCCTTCTCATTGCCCTGGCTTCCTGCCTGGAGAGGGATTCCAAACTGCAGGGCTGGGAGGGGAACCCAAAGGGAGCCTGCCAGTCTCTCTGAGCAGACAAAATGGAATTGAGAATTCAACTGGGGCCAGATGGCTAAAATCCATAGAGCAGAGTACCAGAGGGGAGAGAGGTGCACAGAAAGGGCTCTGGAGGGCTGCAGAGACACCCCCACCTCCACCCCCTGCCCCGAGCCTTCACCTTAGTACTGGTCAAGTGCATGCATGTGAGAAAACTATCCAAAGCTGGAGAACGAACCACTGAACAGAAGCAGGCAGAACAATTTCCCAGCTGCACAGGTCTAGGAAGAGTTGATGCTCTGGGCAGCCTGAGTAGAGAAACCTGTGATTCCAGGGTACGATGGGAGGAAGAGATTACAAAGAAGTGCAAGGACACCTTAGCTAGCAAGTGATAGGTATGTTCATGTTTTGACTGTGGTGATAGTTTCACTGGTGCAGGCATTTGTGAAAGCTCATTAGATGGTATACTTTAAGTGGGTATAGTTTATTGTCTTCAATTACACTTTAATAAAACTGTGGGGGGAAAAACAGGTTTCTTTGCATGGTATATTAGGAGGGAGATGGGCTGATTATGATTTGCGATAGAGGAAATAAATCATTGATCTCCTAGTTCTAGTTTTTCTCCTTTCATCTTTATCAGAAAGAAAATATCTCTGTTTTGAAAACCTAAACATCAAAACCTTATCAGTGGCTGCAGAATCTGTATATGAGGATACATATATCAGGTCTGTGGGCTGAAAAGATGGAGATGTGTTATTGCTTTATAAGATCATTAAGAGTAAAGTCCAGCAACTTGGGATTTGCTCATTATAGATCCATTTATGCAATGTTGGAAAAAGATTGTTATCCTAGTGACCACCATAAATGCTTTACAGGCATTAAGTAAGTTAAACTAGTGCACACAAAGTGCTTAGAATAGAATCTAACTCATGGTAGATGCTTGATAAATGCCAGTGATTATTATTATTATTTCCAGTTCCACTTCTCAAAAACTACGGTCCACAGAAATGAAGGAGCTTCTCCAAGATCAGAGATGTGCAACCCCTGAATCCTGAATCCCCTATAACCTGCCAGCCAGAACGTCATTATACTATGATTCCTCCTTGTCCACACCACTTCCCAGAGTCTACTCTGCCCACATCCCTGAAGGGACAGCTCCCGCTTCCAGGTGCCCCACCCCTGTCCACTCAGGGAACCGATAGTGAGCACCCTGCCCAATCTGAGCCAGTCAGTTCCTCCCTCCTAGGAATATTTTGTATTTTATATTATAGAATTGAGAAACAGATGGAATCAATGAGAAAAACACAGCTGGAAAGGCAAGTGTAAGAGCTCCATGTAAGGGGATGATGGAGCAGATAAACTGCTCAGCAGAGAGACAAATGGAGCAGTCAGGAGGGGCAAGCAGAGAACAGTGGACACATAGCCCTGAGGGAGGAACAGAGTGAAGACAGGAGCTGACAACTTTAAAGCCCCAGATGGCTTTCCTGAGTTCCCCCTTGGCCTTGTACTTGGGGTATTTGAATGGACTTATTACTTGCAGCCAAATGATCCAGGTTTGTCTGGATTAAATCTCTGCGATTGCAAACAACAAGTCACTTCATACTGACTTGAGGAAAAAAGGGCTGCTGTGCATAAACATGTAAGATGACTTGCAGACAGGGCCAGACGGGCAACTGGGCAGGAAGGAGGACTTGGACCCAAAGGTGGAGAGCCCTGAGCAACCAGG